ATCAAGATTTTCTTAGCATGTTTAATGTGACTGAAAACTAGCTAAATTTCTTAAAACTTTATCTCTTTTACTAAAATCATTGGAAAAAGGAATTTGCCTATTTATTAAAATCTGATGTGGCACTTGACAAATCTTACTAATAAAATAATTCTCTTAAATGGATTTAAAAGGTGCACAGACTAAGATTGTTTTCTATATGAAAGAGTTTAAAATAAATCAAATTAATTGCTGTAACACAATAGCAAATACTTGAATTGAGAAAGTGTGAATAATAATCATACTTTTCACTATTGGCATCGCAACATACATACACTGGTGTGCAAAACTTAAGCAACAATGTAAATTTTAATCAGATAGCCATAAAATTGCAGAAAAGGGGTTTTTTTCAATCAGTGCAATGAATACGCAATTCAGTAGAACGGTCATGCGTATGTAAATGTCAGGAACAAAACGTCACAGGCGATGTGAGTGTACACAAAACACGTGCAGTCGGCGCACTCAACTCGAGACTACAATAAAAGGAAGAACGGAGACACAATTAAAGACATTCGATGCAAGTACAGATGAGTTCTTTCGTGAAATATGGCTAGCAGAAATCATCTGGATGACTTCGCACGTGGAAGAATGATCGGAAAGCTGTAGGAGGAGCATAGTGTCACCAGTGTAGCTCAAGAGTTCGGAATCAACAAAAGTGTCGTTTTGCGCACTTAGAAAGCTTTACAAACAATAGGTACAGTTTTTAGAAAGGTTGGTGGTTGCCGCCGCAGGAAAGCAACTGCTGTGGATGACCGATATATCGTCCTGAAGGCAAAAAGAGCCCGAAACCAGTCAGCAAGCGCCATAGCTCAACAAGTGTGTACAGCAACGGAGCAACAAGTGTCGCGGTTAACTGTGTCCAGACGTCTCCGTATCCAGACGCAGAAGGTCCGCCGTTTTGAACACTGTATCCGTTTGAAAGTTGGCCATCGGCGCCACCGTTTAGAGTGATGCAAGGAGCACAAACTTGGACATCTCATCAACGGAGTTTTGTCCTCTTTACGGATGAGAGTCTTTTTACTGCTACAAGAGATTCTGAACGTCAGTTGATTTGGAGAGAGGTCGGGACACGGTTTCATCCCAGCAACATCACGGAAAGAGACCGTTACGGTGGTCCTGGAGTTCTCGTCTGGAGAAGCATTATGCTGCACGGGCGGACAGAGCTCCACGCTTTCGACAGAGGTTCTGTAATCGGAGATGACTATTGTCGGGAGGTAATCCTTCCCCATGTGCGTCTGTTCCGAGGTGCCATAGGAGCAGATTTCGTTTTTATGGATGACAATATGCGGCCACACCGGACTCCTGTTTTTCAGAAGCTACTGGAAAGTGAAGATATCACTGGAATGGATTGGCTACCGTAATCCCCTGATTTAAATCCCATAGAACATGTGTGGGATGCTTTAGGGATACGCCTTGCGGCACGATCACATCCTCTGGGGAACACCCAACAACTGAACAGACGCTGATTGAGGAATGGACACTCTCACATCATGATTTCTTGGACAGTATGTTGCTGGTTATGAAGCGACGGTGCGAAGCAACCATTGCAGTAACAGAAGGGCATATCCCATACTGAGGAACATCTGCTTGTTGTTCTTCCTCTTGTGCAGACAATCATGTGTAACGATACTGTGAGTTCAATAAAGCCTTTTTTTTTGTTTGATTCCATACTGTATGCATTGTATTCATTTTTGCGCTACTATTCTTTTGTCATCGTTTAAATACAAAATGCTGTCTCTCATTTCTGAATTTCATGTCTCTCAGATGATTATTTGTGGAGTTATGGCCAAAAGAACACCTGTTGCTTAAGTTTTGCACACCAGTGTAGTTTGCTACTTGCTATTGACATAGAAAAAGTACTGCCAGTTGTCAGTTTTGCTTTAGTGATGCACATGATATTGTCTGTCACAGTGCTCTGCACTACTGCACCAGCACACATTTGTAATAGTATAATTTGTTGTGATTCATGCTTATCCTCATATACAAGGTGAGCCAATAATACCTCGCACTTTTAATCGGCTGTAAAGCTCTCGGCCTGATGAGGAAACGAAAGGAGAATTAAGACAGCACTGGTTGACGAGGCTGTAGGTATGTTACGCGCATGTGAAATTTTACTAACCAAATGAATAAACAGTTAATTAACGAAGGAAATAATAATTAAAGATAAAAGGCAAATTTCATAACTAATTAAAAATAAACAACGTTTCCGAATTTTCAACATATCTACCACAGCACAAGCTTGTTTATTTACATTAGTAGTTCTTACATCACGTGACCTCCGACGTCACCGGAATGTATCTCATTGATTTCTCGGATGAATTTTTCCAGAGGATCAATTTTCAAATCATTATGCAACACTTGATTCCGAACAAAATTGTGTGCATTCGTCATGATTCTGAGGAATTTATTTTGCACTGTCTGAAGCTTTGTGTGTTCTTTGTTGTTGCAACGGCCCAAGCAGGTGCAGCGTTATCTGTTGAAAGATAAATCAGTCTGTTTTTCTGGCGGCTCAGTTTGGAGTACTTCCCAGTAATTGGATAGAGGCATTTCATAACTCTCAATGCTTGGTTTCGGACATTTTGGATATGAGTATTCCAAGTTAGCCGGCTGTTAATTGTGACACCAAGGTATTTAGCTTTACTGACAATCGGCACAGGTTCGTTAAAAAAGTACATGTCCTTCTTTAAGGGGGAACATTTCTCTTTTTCTTTTTCACAATGAAGAGGGGCGGAATTTCTTGAAAACTCGCCAAAAATGTTTAGGCTGGAGCTATGTCCTGCGTAGAGATCAACCAATGAGACGAAAGCATTGCTTCTGAAGGATCACGTGATCCCAATCTGAGAAATAATCGATTACTGTTTGGCGTTCAAGTCTTTGTAGTAAGTGAAAATGGTAACCTAGCTACGTGGGTTTCCTGGAAACGTGAGAGTTCTGAGAATTGTCCCTTTCGACGTCAAGTCCCTCGTAGCCCGAACATAATGTGATTGAAACTTTATAAATATCTCAGCATTCTCTGAGATTCTAGTCCAGGCCCATCAATCTTACAATGGCATCGCTAACTACTATATTGATCAGCGCTGCTCTCTATCTGTATTCTAGAAACCTAAAACTTTTCGTAACACCTCATGAATTTATTACATTTGAAATTCATTAAATAAATGCTACATACTGTTACGGATTTTGTATTTATTTAGCTATTTTTAGTAGAATTTGTAATTAAAATTGTTTTATATTCTCGTGCAATGCAGCTCAAGACTTCTTTGAAGAGAAAGCTACGCTGGAAAAAAATTAACAACAAGAACTAAGTAAACAACTGAATCGAGATGTTTTCCTCCAGCTTTTATAATCATTTTAATCCTGCACGAGAACATTCTAGTGTTTTCTCTATTTTTCTGGATAGCAAAAGAGTGCAATTACGAGATATCTATTTATTAAAATGTTAAATGCGCGTGCTCCTGTATTTTAATTTTATAACATGACAATTGGGCTCATGCCGGTTCGCGGGTTGCTGCCTGGGAATCGGGCACGCGTTGGTGCGGAGCGCCTGGTAGAGCTCTGGTGTGTCGTTTCTTTTAACCTTAGCTCAGCGATACCTTAATCACCAGTGGTACTACAGAAGTGCTGGCCTAGCTTTATATTATGTTATTTCTACAGAATCTCCATACATAACTGTACAGAAGTTATATCTAAAAATTTATAGCATTCCATAGATGTCTGACATAAATTATAGAAAACTGGGTTATAATTTTAGAGGATTCTAAAAAAGTTCGACATTGGATTTTTTAATAGAATTCTATGATATTTTTGTAAGGATAGGATATTTCAATGCGGCAAAGCACACGACGGTTATCTGCCTATAAAAAGAGATGCCTTCGTAGAAGACTTTCTAAAAGAAACTGTTTCGTATCCACGTAGTTACACACGGGGAATATCACGAAAACGTCCATGCAGTCAAGCCCGTTCGCCTGGAACTGAACTTAAGTCCAGCTACCAGTGTTCAGCGACTTTACCGCTGGGCCGTTAGTGAACCTGGTAGTTTGCTACCAATATTCAGCAGTCTTAAGCACTCGGCCACCGGCTTAATACCGAAGAATTAAGGACTTGCAATTTATTAATTCATTGTTAATTTCTTTTGTTTTCGTTGCTTCACCATCGATCGAATGGGTAAGACCGATGAAGCTGGATATTTCGACCAGAGTTTGAATTTCTGTGAATGGATGTGTATTTTTCGTTTTTCTGTTATCAGAGTTTCACTTTTCATCTTCATACGTTGACGAGCCGTTAAATGAGTAAGACCGCTGAAGATAAGTAGCTTGAACCCAGTTTGAATCCCTGCGAATGCATCACATAGAATATATTTTTTTTTTTCATATGCGACATTATTATGAGCCAATTTTTGTAGTAGAAAAATAAGGTTATAACATGATTTTATACATGATTATAAGAAAATTTTGTTACAGGAGGAACTGAAACATGATTTTGGGATTTCCTAAAAGCTCTAGAGCACAAGCCCGAGTCATCTGAGCGTAGGCGGTAATCAAGCCCTAACTGAAACATGAAATAACGCAGTAAACGAAGTTTTTTTTTTAAAAATCTCTATTGAAAAATTGAGCAGAAATTATGTAGAAATATCTTTCATTAACTATCATTTCAAACTACACGGTAAATGGGCATATTATTAATTGGTTGCATTATAAATTAAAAGGATTTAAACGAAAAATGAACGTGATATCCCTTAGATTCTGAAAAAGCGTAACAAAAATTATTCAAAAATAATCAAAAGAAATTGCTTTGGTTGCAATGAAAGCGTAGAAATACCGAATCCGAAACAAACGAGAGTTCCGTTTACGGACTTTTTCTGCGAGAATTACTTGGCACAATTTGGCGACAACACAGCAGTTCATTTTATTGTAACCCCAGAGCCCGGATGTGAAAATTGGCTGTACGAGAAAGCGCGCGCCATTTGCCTCGCAGAGAGTGTGAGAACGTGCTCTAAGTGGATGTGTAAATTATTGTATTAAAATCTGATACAAGTCTAAAAAATAAGGTCTACTTTTACGTTTCGTTGCCACCCAGTTACGTAAATCAATTTTCTAATCTGAGCTGTATTATTTAATGTTTATTACAGATTTAAACATGTTTAATGCATCAAATGCCGGTTGTGTACCAGAAAGGGAATTCCATAATAATTGTCCAGCTCACAGAGCTTGCAGAGATGGTGATATAGCTTCATTAAGCAGAATTTTGCAGTCTGAACCAAGTCTTGCAATGATGCAGGATCCCTATCGAGGTTTGACACCTATTCATTGGGCAGCACTCTTTGGACATGTAAGATGTTCATGTATATCTCTTGTATTATTTCACTTACTATCTCTCCCCCTCCCCAAAGTAGTAAAAACTTACTTATTGTAACTCAGTAGTTTTGTACTATGCTGAACGTATCAAGCATTCTTAGTACGTTAATAATAAGTACAAAGCTTAATTTTTTTTTCGATGAGAATGCATTTTTATTAATTAAACAGCGTGAAGTTATTTATGCTGGATATGTACAGTTAAATGAAAGTAAAAGCATGTATGCACTTTTTCCTTCTCTGTTGATTTGATTGATTTATTAAACGACGAAATTTTGTTGCAATGTCCGTACGCAGTATGCGTTTCCTACGTTTTTTGTTTCTGTTCGTGATTCGAGAATTTTTTTTTTTCACCTGAGTGTAATACATGTTTAAAATTACATTTTTAGGTAGTTTATATAGTTTCTACAAACGTAAGCTAACAGGTGCTCATCGACATCTGGTAGTAATCAGATGACTCTTTGAATATGCAAGTCGGGTATATTGCACATTATTTTATTTGAGTTTTGTATGAAAACAATCGCAGTAAAGATGAAGTGTGTAAAACTTCTAATTTCGGTGATGCTGCTGGAGAAATTATTTTTGTTACCTTGCAGTAAATTTATTTTTTGCTCATTAATTCAGTACAGTCTAATATGTTGAAAATCCATTCATATGAAATGTTTACGTTAAACAAGTTTTTTTATTTACTTTACGCCAGGATAGGATACATCTGTTTATGTGTATCTGAGTCCGCGTTCCTTACTATGCTACTTGATTTGTGTTAAAGAATTTAGTCAGAGTTAAAATTTGCATCAAAATGTATTTGTATTCAAATGGATGTATTCTTTTATGATTCAGTATATTTTTAGTGTTCGATAGTGATCTGGGGAATATATGGAATGGAAATGTTTTTCATTCTTTTTTTTATAATGATTTATTTTAATACGACGTATTTATTTTAGAGAATTTAACAAATTAATTATTAGACTTCATTTCATGTTTTTCTTTGTATATTACGAGCATCAAAACAGTTTGGGAGCATTGCACTTTGCTCCATTTGTTCTACACGTACTCTTTTTCTCTGTTGCCAAGAGACCGTGTCGGTCCTTTCCCCCGCACCCCTTCCTCATGTCTAGGATGCGGTGGGAAGATTGTTTTTATTCAAGCACTGATAAACATCAAAATTAATTCCCTCCCTTAAGTCTTTTGAGGGAGGGTGGGAAAGAGATGAAGGGAAACCAGAGCATGAAGTTTTTTGTTGTTGCATACATAGCTGAAAAAATAGTAAAAAACTGAAAGGGTTCAGATTTTAATATTTGCTTAAAAGATCTCTTTGAAAATTTAATATGGTTTATCAACAGAGATTATGAATAGAGATGGCCCAGGTCGAGTAGCAGAACATTTTATAGCGTACTAGATGCATATGTTTTTTAAGAATACCAACTTTTATTATAAACTGTAATCTGTTTTTACCTCACCTAATATGTATAATTAATTGTTCATATGAAATTTTTAACATACTTTGCATTCACTGTTTTTATCTCTTGTTTGGTACAGATAACCTTGTAAGGTTTTTATGTCAGAAATTGCAGTAAATCAAATCAAATCTAAATGCATATACATTTAGACTAACATTGGAAGGTATATTATTTCTAGCCTGTATAGTGTTTAGTGACTGTGATGGCCATAAGGATGGGCCCGGCTTCGAATCCTGGAAAAGTCCATCCCTTCATAGAAGGCAACAGTGGCCATCTAGTAGATACTTCCATAATAAAATAACTAGGTGCAAGGCTAATAAAATAAAGTGCCTGGTATTAAAAAAAATATTATTTCTGTAAATTTGACGAGTGAAAAACATTCAATATAATTCTATAAAAATGTTCAATGTTTTTAATTAGACATATTGTGAATTAAATGCATTTTTATTTAAATAAATCAGATTAAAAAATTTAAAAAGTAATATTCTTAAGAACTCCATCTGTTGCTTTTATATACAGTCAAAAAGTTTTTAATCCGGAATGATCTATAATCCGAACCTCAAAGCTACAAACTTTCTGTGCATACGTTGATGCATGCACATAATACGTTTACACATGCGCATTTAATGTATAACGAGCGGTATAAGCTAAGCTAAAATTATCTAATTATCTATTTCGGTTAATGTTGCAGATTACGTTGTTCCTTAATCTTCTAATTGGATCCGGATTATTATTTTTTGCAGACTGTTAAAGCAATTTTATAAACGTGAGCTTGAACTTTCGATTATGTCAAAAAGAATTTCCGATTCTGGAGCTGCTAAAGGATCTACAAAGCGAAAGCATGTTTCGTTTTGGCAATGTATCATAAGACTGCAAAAGCATTTTCAGACAAAAAGTGGAATTGCTGCAAAAAATGGATAAAGGCATAGCCTTTGTTTCTCTAACCATTTCAAAATCTGTTTATCAATTTCAGGCTGCTCTGCACATGGGGGGGGGCAATGAACTGGAAGTTGATCTGTCAGCACTATCCTTATCTTCAGGGCAGATGTTTTTATTTTATTCGGCTTATAATTTCTTACTAAATGTAGTATTTCATCTCTATGTACTCCGTCTTTGATATGATTAAAATCAAATTCCTCATCATTATGAATATCACAAATACACATCAAATAGTTTTCTGGTTGCAATTTTCTAATTTCGGCTATGCGTAATGTATGCTTTATGCATGTGTACGCGTTGAAAGAAATATTTAATAAATATTAAGCTTTTTTTTTTTTTTGTAAATTTTGATACCCTTTAGATAATAATTGCTCTTTATTTCATAAATTATGGTTCATATTTTTATAATTTCTGCATGCCATCTTACCAGATTTAAACTGATGATCTATAATCCGAAATCACTGAAGTCCGGATTAAAGACTTTTAACTGTAGTTTGTTAGTTAATAGATAAAACCTGTGATTATGATTGAATGAGAAAAAACAATATCTTGCATTCTTCTGAATGGCACCAAACTTCAATGAAAAGCGTATTTCGAGACTGATAGCCCTTTTAGACTAAAAAACATGCTAAAATCAACAAATTTACAGTCAGGAACAGTTTTAGCATGGCATTTCAGAACACTTAGAAATTTGGCTCATGTTGAAAATTAAAAAGCAAGTTTTTAATAAAAGAATATTAATGTTTTTTTTCAGAACTAAGATAACTTAGTGGAAAAAAAAGTTCAAATTAGTAATTTGTTTTAACGAAGCTAATTTGAAAAGGGGGAAAAATAGCTTAAAAGGCAACTTTGTGTCATGTTTCTTTTCCAATTTGTAACTCAGTAACTTTTCATTAAAATCTTAAATTTCTCTGTGTTTTATTTCGTTAGACAAGAAGACAAAATATATTGTTAAACATAGCTTACAAAAGTGATGAGACATTTTTAATTTCTGAAAATAATATCAAAAGTGTTAAATTTCATAAAACTGAAATGAAAAAAAAATCTTTTTTTAAAAATGCATTCATTTAATTTTTTTAAGCACTAAATAGTTTTACGGAATGTAAAATATTGAGTTAAAAAAATTAATGTCTTCGCTTCAGTGGTAAAATCATATTTTGAAAGTTCTGGGGCTCACCAGTGATTAAGTACTCTTAAAAAAAGAAGATTACAGAATTCTTTTAAAAAAAGAATCTAGTATTAAACGTCTTTAGAATCATGGGTGAATTTTCTATAAAGTAGGCCTGATCTTTTATACAATTCTATAAAATTTTAGCTCTAGCTCCTATAGAGTTATGTAGTGAGATACGTTAAATATATGTCTTAGTGTGCAGATATTCTACAAGAAACTGCAATTTTTAAAGGTCTCGCATATAGATAACTGAGCAGTAATTCTAAAGAAGCTTCCCTCTTTTAATGTTTTCTAAAAGATCCTATAGAAGCTATTGATTATTTAAAAGCATTATAAAATCAAAAGAAGTTTTTCATTTTTTGAGTAAAATCTTTTAACCTTAATTTTGAAATGATCTGTGACATGGAAAGGGGATAATAAAAGTTTTCAGGAAAAATGTATTTTTCTTTTCCTACATGGAATTTCACATGGATTTTTCCCTTAAAGATTTCTACATCATTTTGATTAAAAAAATATTTAAGTAAATGGATTTTAGATAATATTTAAGTTTAATTAAAATGAGAAAACCTTTTTTCTTATCAGGGTACTTATTTTATAGTAATTAAAAGCATTAATTCAGGAGTTAAAATTTTGTGATTTAAAGTAGCAGGCAAGCCCGCCAGATGAGTGGGCTGCGACCGTAGAAGAATTTATAAGTTGTGTTCCATAAAAAATTTTATTTTTCCTCTGTTTAGAAAAGACGGATGACAATTTTAAAATTCACCTCGTATGCCCTTCAATTTGAACGTCGAACTGCAGTTCAGCAAAAAAGCAACTTGCAGAGTGGGAAAATTAGCACTTTCAGAGTTTTTTAAATTAATATCTTGGTGGATTGAAGTCGTATGAAGATAAGAATGGTCAAAATGGATTCCCATGAATTTTTTAAATGTGGGAGTACCTCTCACGAAATTAAACTCCCTACAGTTCTGGAGGAAATGTTAACAGACAGAAGTGCATAGATTTTAATAGTAATTGATTTTATGATATTGCAAAACTTAATTTTTGTAATATATAAACAGTGTTATAAAAATTTGCATTAAGTTAGAAACGCATTAAGCTAGGAATGGAGAAAGCAAAAAATTTCCATTCAAAGAACTGATAAACTCTGAAATGAATAAAAAGTGTTATTTGAAAAAAATAGTTGAATTTTGTAGAGAAGCATTTCTGTAGAGGATTACATATAAAGTTCTGTGAGAATTTTTATTATTCTGTGAGAATTACATATAAAGTTCTGTGAGAATTTAGAGCTCTTTCAGTCTTTATAAAAATTCTGATATTTCTAATTATCTGCAACTTCATCGAAAAGTCGCATATTTGTTTGTGACCTTGGAGAACATTTGGGAACTCTTTGGCCATAGATTTTTTGCTGAAGACCAGAACCGTTTCCAAAATGGTGCCAGAGTAATACAGTACAAAGTCTTTAACCCTTTGACGCGCGGTGGTCGCGCCCTGAAACCACCAATTTTCGAATTTTTTCCTCCTCTTCCTTCCGAAATTTTGAGTGAAAATCAATTGATTACTGATCTTTTACCTTTTAAATAACACAAAATGACTACAGAATCCTACATGTTTTAGGTCTTAGTACTTCAAATAGGATGTCTTTTAAAATTCGTTTTCAATGAGACAAAATAACTTCCTTTGATTAATATAAACAATGTGTCTTAATTAATATAAACAACTTTAAATTTCAAAAGTTATTCATCGCACATCATGATTTGTATCGTAAACAATAAAAAATAGCAAAAATTAAACTGCATATATAAAAAAAACTTCTATAAGCATTGTGTCACAATGCTTCTAGAGGCACAGTGGTCACGCCTTCAAATAGGAATGTTTATTTTTACCCGGATATAGATAAGGATTTTAGAAATCACAGAGTTATTTTATTACTAAACAATAGATGCACCTGCCCAGTAAAAAGGATTTTCTTTTCCAGAGACTTTTCTCTGACCTCAACACACTTGCTCCCCAAGCTAATATTGTGATATTATAAATTATTTCCTGTGGTTTAAATTTAAAGTAAATATACTTTGCTGTAATTAAAAATAGAAATCGTGTAAAGTTTTATTTAAATTAAAAATATTTTCTGACTATTTTGAGATGAAATACGAATAAAATAAGTATGAATGGGAAACAAAGGATCTGTACCAAAGCAAAAAGACCAAGCTCCCCCCCCCATTAACATAAAAAAACCACAAATTCCATGTGCCAGATGAAAAGAAACTAAATAACGCTGGACATATACCAGTGAAATTTAGATCCACTCAGTGTACATTTTGTAGCGCAAGGAAGTAACATCATAGAAGAAGACACACGTGCAAAACGTACAATGTGGGTCTATGCATGTACCAAAAAGACAAAAGTTGCTTTGAACAGTATCACAAAAAATATTTGTTCTTTGAAATAGAGGGAAAAAAAAAAAACTGTGTCTTTTTTTATTCTTATTTTTATGAGTATTTATTTTTATCCTTATTTTTTTTTCTTTTATGAGTTTTTTAATCCATGTAGCCAAACGTCCTTTTAATGTAGGTACTTTCACTGCGATAGAAAAATTACATAAACGTTTATTTTTTAGTTTTTCTGACAATTTAATTTGTAAAAAATATATATATTATGCAATTCTTACATGCATTTTTTTTTTAAATTCTTAAATTTCGTCATTTATTGGAAACGCGCACGGAAAAAGGCAAGTTTTTTTTTCCTACTACCTAGGTTAAGTTTCAAAGTCCTAGACGCGCGGTGGTTTCACAGTGCGACCACCACCCACAGAACAATGGGCAAGAGTAGATTTTTTTTAATTCATATATTATTTGTCTCTAGGATCATAATATTCAATTTCTAGAGTTTTTAATGTAAAAAAATATAAAATTAATATCGTGCGCGTCAAAGGGTTAATTTGGACTCCTCAGGACTTCGGCGATTCCGGATTAGGATTTTTTTCGGATTATAGATCAATTTAAATCTGGTAAGATAGTATGCAGAAATTATACAATTTAAAATATGAAACCGTAATTTATGAAATAAAGAGTAATTATGATCTTAAAGGGTATTAAAATTTACAAAAAAAAAAAAAAAAACTTAATATTTATTTGTTTATTTTATTAAACATTTCTTTCAATATAAGTTGTTTAAGTTGCTTCTTCTTTTTATGTGCTTCTTCTTTTTATGTGCTAATACTTTTTAATTCTATAAACAAACATAATTTCTTGTTCAGTTACAAAGTTCCGCTGTTCAAGTCCTGTAATTGCTGTGCCGAGACTACTGACTTACTTGCCAGTCGAAATTTTTTTGTTTTCACTAACGTCTCTGTCACTTTCTTCATGCCTTTATCCATTTTTTGCAGCAATTTCACTTTTTTTTTGATGGACATCGAAACATGCTTTCGCTTTGTAGATCCTTTGGCAGCTCCAGAATCGAAAACTCTTTTTGACATAATCGAAAGTTCAAGCTTACTTTTTATAAAATTGTTCTAACAGTCTTCAAAAAATAATAAGCCGGATCCAACTAGAAGATTAAGGAACAACGCAGTCTGCAACATTAACTAAAATAGATAATTAGATAATTTTAGCCTAGCTTATACCGTAATACATTTTCGTAAATGCTACGCATGCGCAGAAAGTTTGTAGCTTTTGATGTCCGGATTATGGACTTCCGGATTAAAGACTACTGTAATTCGAGAAAATAAATCAGCAAAACTAAAAAGGCAATAAACTTTGGTAACAAACACCTTTTTCAAGAAATCTGTTATTATGCTCTGTTTTCTGATAAAAAATTCGGAGAACAGCACAAACTTGGCATCTGGACAACATTGGCATTGCAACCTATACCTTTGTTGTCACATGAATTCTTTTGGACACTAGTATGAATTAATTGCTCTGTCCCATGAATACTTTTTCATGTCTTTTCATTAGGGATGTGAATTACCAGAAAGTACCCAAATGTTTTCATAAGATTAGATAAGATTACTGAAATTTGATCTGTCTTCAAATCCTGAACAAGAAACTGCAGGCATGGTTGTTCTCATGGTTTTTTTCCCTTGAGTTTCATAAATATGAGCTAATTTGCTTTAGAAATCTTCTGAAAGCTTCTCAATCAGAAGCAATTAGTCCTCATGTGTTTTGTCTTAATAAATTGACAGAACAACCACAGTAGTCTTTAAATGTTACTGATTCTGCAAACAAAACCATTTTTAATAGGATATGTATATTTATAACATTTATTTTTGTTGATCAGACCCTCGTACTCATTATTAAAAAAATCAAAATTCTTTAATGAAATATTCTTGGATTTGTATTATTTCAACATTTAAAAGAACGCATGTTTTTAGTAATTTGTTAATTAATTCTATTTGGCAGCTAGGAAAAGATGAAGCTGTAATTAAAGTTCCTGCAATAGTTATATTTGAGCATTTGGATAGTTTTTAGTGTAATAAAGTGTTGGAAAGTTAAGCAAAAAAGCAATGTTAGATTAGCCAAAGATGTTGTAATATAATTCTTATCAATTTTGAGGATGATTTCACAAAGCATCCCTGCACACGCACACATGTGTAAAAGGCACAAGTATTTTCAGTAAATAATAAAAATAGAATATATAAAAGAGGAAATCGTAAAATCGTTCTTTTCTCACCTAAAATGGGAATTGAACTTTCTTGGCACGCTTGCAAGAATAACTCTACCAATGGTGTCTGGACTTGTTTGGCACTTTATTTGCCTGTTCTTGGGATATTTGAAATTTATAAATTGTTTTAGTTTTTCAGTTTCAAATTTTTTTCAGGGCCTGTTGGGAAGTCCAACTGTTACTATCCCTCAACGCTTTATTAAGAATAAAATATACTGTTATATGTCTAAATCAAAAGGATGTGTCACATATACTTTAATTCCAGTTTTTAAATAAAATGGGGCAGAAGGTCCATTTTATCTGGTTTTTGCTCTTGAAAGTTGTGAGCATAATTATGTGAAAAATTTCTAGCACTTTGTTTTGCATCTTAATCATATTTTAAAATTAAATTATTTATTTTTGATATGGAGTTAAATTACAAATGAAACCTGAGAACCATTACTTAGAACCATTAGAAGAAATTTATGTAATGGATCTCAGGTTTCATTTGTAATTTAACTCAATAATCTTGCTTTTAAAAATGCTATCGACCTTATTTCATTAATTTTGTTTGCGTTAATTTTCTCTGTACACTCTCATTTCCCTATTCACGTACTGGGAAAGAAAAATTGTTTTAAAGTATAAAAGGTTTCTGAGAAATTTCTCTCCTTCTTTTAAAAAATTCCATGTTTATGTTCTTTAATCCAAAGTAATTTCTCGTTAATGAGAAATCTGTATCATTTGATCAATTCCTAGAAAAGTTTGATGAGACATAGCTAAACTTGACTGAATTTTCTTTTGAACTGTTTTAAAAAAATCATATATTTTTATGGAGCATGGAGTTTGAAAGTATGACTGTGTATATTGGTACATTATGACATTGCACTATGTCTATTAAATTTAGTTTTCTGATGCAAAAATTTTAAAGTAAAATTTTCATCACTAATTTATCAAGTACTATTTGAATTTCCATTTAAAATCATATGAAAATGTAGTTTTACCTTTTATGCAATTTGATTTTGAAGCAGCATTTTATTTCTTATCATTGTTTTAATTTATTCTCTAGCTGGATTGTATAAGACAAGTTGCTTCTGTAGAACCTCGTGTTGTCAATGTCCAGTCGTTCAGGTATTTCTTAACCCCTATACACTGTGCTTCTGAGGCTGGACATCCACATTGTGTTCTATGGCTGTTGCAGGCAGGAGCAAATCCTGAAGTCAAAGTAAGGAACCATCTGATTTATTATAGTTCTTAGTAATAGTTTAAACCACATTTATTCTATTTATAGTTATAAATTTACCTTAACTAAATAACTATTGCATTTTAAGTATACTTTGAATTTATCTGGTATGGATAATAAAGTTGTGTATTTACTAGAGATTTCTATTTGACCATCTGCAATCTACTTAAAATTCTTTTGCCTTGCTGGCATACAAAGCAGTTTTTTTTTTCTTTTCTGTTAACTCTTTGACCAATGGATATTAAATTTGTATTATCTGAAAGTATTATGAATGCTAGTGTCATCAGTAGGATTATTTGCAAAAGAATCGGTTCCTTTAGTTGCATATAATGAATAAAACTTACTTTTGGGCTGTTTTGTCTTGCTTTCTTAGAAGCATTCTCATTTCTGTAAATTCCTATTGAGTAAAATCTGTGTCAGTCTCTCCAAAAATTACTGGGTTATGAATTTTACACTGTGTATTGCTGCATTTCTTGGTGAGAATTTCTAAAGGATTTAGATAATTTTATAGTGTACTGAATTTTTTCTTTTTAGATCATGTGTACATGTTTCGTGTTCTTGAATTGATATAGATTGAAAAATTTCATACCTTATAACAGGGCTCGGCAACCTATAACCCACAGGTCACCAAGTTACGTATTTCATAATTTCAAGTAACCAAGACGAATTTTGAAAATAAAGCATAATATGTGAAAAAATTATAAAACGTAAATATGAAACAAATATTTGAAAAATAAACTGAAAATAAATAATAACATTTTTGTTTAATTACAAAGTTACAGTAATGAACATGCATTTGTAACCTAACTTCAGAGAGAAATCGATAACTTTGGCAGTGCCAATCCTTAATTATTTGACAAACATATAGCAATACTGGTCATTCTCTAAGCTTACTCTCAGTTTTAGCAAAGTTGTAGCTTTTCTTTAAAACGTAGAAATGCGCGACTGAAATGCCAAATGAATAATCTGAATTCATTGCTAATTGTGTTTTGAAAACTTGTGACCAGCCATAATTTTGCTACATCTGCTAGCTTTGGTAACAATGGATAACCGTTTACAAACAGCGAATTTTTGAAAAACTCATTCATAAAGTGTTCAGAACAGTTATGAATTTCATGAACAATTATGAATATGAGCATTTATGAACAACTTCACAAATAAAAAACAAATGAGAGAATTAAAAAATTATCGTCAGCTAGAACAATTCAGCATCACATTGAAGATACGGCCAAAAGTATTGATGAACTGGTCAAAATGATGCGTTATCTATGATGTAATTAGCATTGCACTCAATGAAAGTATAAGTGTACATAATATGGGTAGACTTCAATTGTTATTAGATATGTATCAATTACTTCAAAAGTCAATGAAGAACTTTGCAAGCTTGCTTCTGTGAATGACACAACCAAAGTGAACAATTTTTTGTTAAGTACAAGAGTTTATCAAGTTAAAAAATGGTCATGTATTGTATTTAAAATGTAGATTGTTTTCCTGTGGGAGGAAAAACTTAGATTCGTGAAATTAATGAAAAGTTAGGTTGGCTGCTTACTTTTATCATTTCATGGTATCATATATGAAGAAAATTTACTTTCAAAGCCGTCTACACAACAACTTTAACCACTTGCGCTAGAAAGACATGCCACACACATCGAGATGCTTTTGTCTCAAACCGCGCGCAAAAATAAAAATAACGTGGCACACGTCGCCTAACAACGAGATTGTTTATTTCTCAAGTTACAGCTCTGGATCGCACTCGCAGATGCAGAGCGTCATAAATGAGACACTTTACCTCTTGTTATATTGTAGTGCACGACACCGCAACCGTGAAGTTTAGTCGTAGCACAAGTGGTTAAGATGCAATGGAAAATATTAATATTGTAAATATGATAGTAACACGATCACCATTAGTACAGAAGCACTTCAAAGCTTTCTTTGACAGAAATTGAATAAAAATATGGTGATTTGCAGTTACATTTTTTGAAACAGGATGATAAAATTGAGGCAAAGTTCTTAATATATTTGTAGAGTGTTTTGATGGGTTACAAATATTTCGGTACTTACTTATTAATGCAACCACCTTGGTGCAATTTAGCAGTTTTTTTTTACAGATGAAGAGGTAAAAATTACTTATTGGATGCAAGTTGATGATTTTGCCTTTTTTCTGTTTGGAAAGATTCCCAAACTATCCATATTTATTGTCAATCAGTAAGCATTATCAACATATGGAAAGAGAATGTACTTTAACAATTTAATATACAGATTTGAATTATTAATAAGGATTTCATGAACATTAAAAAATAAAATGCTTACATTCTTCTTCAAATCGTTTTGTAATTTTTTTGCACTCTTCTCCCAAACTACAGAGCAATTTGTTTTCATTTAAAAGAGGGGGGGGGGAAAGAGGAAATATTGTAGAGATTTGGTTTTGTGCAGCCCTTGGGAACAGTGGCTATGCAGGAGATGCATTTCCTCATTGTTTCCGTCAGAAAATTCTCAGTAAAATTTTGTATTCCTGGAAGAATGGTCATGCTCATGGTTGCCATAGTTTAGCACATTCTGAAAATTTGGCAACTGTTATTAAGGTGGTTGCATTAATACATAAGTTGCATTAATACATTAAGTTGCATTAATACATTAAGTTGTATTAATGCAATGTCCAATATTTCTTTATGAAATTGGTGAACATGATCTCAGACTGAATGATAAAATGTCGTTTTTAAGACTTTTGTTCTTTAGACATTGAACCATTGTAATGATTTCAGCTGACTACTGTAAGGAAATAACCATACAAATTTGAAAATACAGGAAGAATGGAAGAGTTTTTCTTTGAGATTAATATTGTTTGAAATGGACATAAAAAGGAATTTCATTTCTTTTCCTTGTTAAAAAAGAGTGGAAAAGAAAATATTAATGAGAGAGCAATTTTAATATATTTGAAAGTTGGATTTTATGTATTAAAATTTAAGTGAATTTGAAAGTTGATTTCAAATTTTTAAATAGCATGACAAAATGTTTACTTTTATATTAATGCTCGATGAAATAGAAGAAAATGTTTTAGATTTGCAATATTTTCATTAACTTAAAGTTGACAATTTTAGTTTAGAAATTATTGATTTTAAAAGTTCAGTATTATGGATGGATTAATTCAAAACATTGTTGAAAGATTTGAGAAAATTGGAAGTTTATGATCTTTTCATCACATCAGTATATTTATATTGGCCATCGCTTCTTATGAAGTTTTCGTCTCTGAAAAAATTTGCCATTTTGTCTGCATTTGGTTTGACTTCTAAATGGAGCAAATACTTTGTAAAATTTATTTTACTTAAGAATAGAAACAACTTAACTGCAGAAAATTCAGACGACAAACCAAGAGCCGGACTTGACTAAATTGACCTGACAAATTTTCATGTTTAAAGCAAATTGTAATTAGTACACACATTTTGGTGATTTTGACCCACAGACAAAAAAGGTTGCCGACGCTTGCCTTATAATAAAAGGCTATTTGCACATTTTTTTAGATGATTTTGCTCTGCTGTAAAAAAAAAAAAAAAAAAAAAAAAAAAAAAAAAAGAAGCCTGCTTGGAAAGAATTTTTTTTTAACTAACTGTATTTTCCAAAGTGTAAATTATCATCTGCCACTTGACAATTTTGTTTTCAAAATGGATGGAAAGCTATGTTTGTGTTCCTTCCAAAGAAAATTATTCATATTTAATTATTAAAAAATGCTGTGAAAGTCGTGATTTTTTTATATCTAAAGCAAACAATAGATAGTATTGTCAGTGAGAAACGAGAACGTCGGAGTTTGGCTTCAAGGAGAAAAATTGATCAAAATGAATATCTAAGGCAAAAATGGAATGTTTCGAATGTTGTAAAGATAAGAACTTTAATGTTAAGAGAAAATATGCGAAGTCAAAGGGCAGTTGCATCATTAAAATGCTTAGTGTCAACTGTAAACAAAGTGATTAATGCTGGTTTCAATCCTTAAAAAGGCGGGAAAACGTGATGTGCATCGTCTTTTCCAAAACATATCGCTGAAAAGCTGAACATGTTGCAGAATTCTCTATGAGAAACAATTGTTTGGACAAAATGAAAAATCGTCGAAAGCAGAATGTGCTGCAGAATTCTCTGAGAAACAATTATTCGGACAAAAAATTGAAAACTGTTATCACAATAGATGAATCTTGGGTATATTTAAATGACCCTCAATAAAAAGAGATCCATTTATTATCATCAAAGAAGAGAAAAAAACCTTAGAACATGGTTCAAAGAATCTTATGGGATTTAGTATTGTTGCTGTTTTTGATATAATGAGAAATAAAAATTAAAGAGATTGCGTAAAACTGTTAAGGTCAATTTCACACATTTTTAGTAACATATTTTATATTTAATTTTCAAATATGAAATACCTTCTGTTTACCTACAATGCCATCTATCTGTAGAACTGCATCAAGACAAAGCAAAGCAGCTGCATGTCAAAATCAACTGCTAATTTCCTGCAAAAAATGGAACAAGAAATGTATATCAAGATCATACATACCCTTCACTTATATCACTACTAAATCTCCTGATGTTATCATACACCGATTTTTGGACTTCTAAAAACCGAATTGTCCAGACCTTGACACACAACATCCATGGACTTTGGAAAGCCGTTAATAGGATAAAATACTTATTGTTTTTCAGATTATGGTGTAGAAAGATAGTGAAGAATAAGGGTTATCAAATAGGACATTTAAAACGCAATTTTAGGTAAAATGTTTCTGTAAATGCAATGAAAATCGTCTAAAAAATGTGCGAACAACCTCTATAAACTTTTTTTTTTAAAAATAAAAGCAGTTTCCTTATTTTTTCGTATAGCTTTCTTCTATTTGTATTGGTGGATAATGAATTCAGCATTTTTTAGCAAATGATTTTGCTGTAACATATTTTCAAGCTTCATCTTGGTGCATGATGTAGGAAATTCGAAGATTCAGCTAAGACAC